TAAGATTTAAACCAGTCTAGAGCTGTTCCTTTAATTTATACAAAATATTCAAGTCTTTCTAAATGAATATTATGATCAACTGTATCAAATGCAGGACTGAGACCTAACAAGACAAGTACAGATACAAGTCCATTACCTGACGCCAAGAGAATATCTTTAGCATCTTTCACCAGAGCTGTTTCTGTCATGATCTTGGCACCATAGGCTGGGTTTTAGTCCTCCTCCACTTATCTGCTTTGCTCCTCCCCGGCCTAATTATCTCTTATCAGATCCAACTGTTGCTTCTGCTATTTATGCCGCCAGTTCCAAATCCATGGTGCCAGATTATTCAAGCTTCCAGCAAGTTTAGTTCTAGCATTTCTCTGCATGTGTTTGTTCCGCCTGATATTTACCTGTTACTGCCCCCGGACTTCTGAGTATTGACCGCACCAGTTCTGCTCTATTATGCCTGTTCTGTTTTTCTGGATTTTACCTGTTGTCGACCTTGGACCCATCTTCTGACCACGGCTCGGATTATCCCTCCTGGATCCCTTGTTTTCTCTGTGTGTTCTGGCTGCTCCTGGTCGCTGCTCCTCTTTCCTTCTAGATCTCTGGTTCAGGCTCAGTTTCAAACTGCAGAGCTCAGCTCCTCCAGACTTCACTCCTCCTTCTGAGCACAGACTGAACTATTCCAGGTTGGTGACTTTCAGCTCATTATCATTCCCTGATTGAGCTTCAGAATTATTTATCTGAGTCCATATCCCCGCAGTGTATCCAGTGAACCCGCCCCAGCTCATGAGCAGCCGCACGCAGCTTTTTCAATAAACTCCTTTGAAGTTTCACTGTCTGTCTCACCTGAATTCTGGGTCCAATCCTCTGAGCTTCTGACAGTTTTAGTGCTATGATGAGCTCTAAAGCCAGACTGAAAATCTTCAAAAAGTTCATTATGGTGTAAGTGATCGCATACAGTTTGTCAAGTAAAGGTTTAATTAAAGTACCCTTAAAAGCTTTAGGTACATATCCCTGTTGCAGAGATAGATTATTCACATCTAAAATGGAGGAAGAGATCAAACGGAAAACTTCCTTAAATAGCCTGGTTGGAACTGGATCAAACATACAAGTTGAAGGCTTAGATGAAGACAATAGTTTTGCTAACTCAAAACTAATCAATAGGCCAGTCATCAAGATCATGACAATAATCCTAAATATATAATCACAACATTAGACGATCTACTACTGTTGAATAAAACAAGAGTCAGTGCTGCAAAAACAAAAACTTTTTATTCAGATTCAATACAGTGAAATGTATTAAATTTGAGGTAACGGCGACACATCTATATTCAAACAACCTTAAACAGGCGTAGAAGGCATACAGACTGCATAAAACTATTGTAACCAAGTATTGCACACTAACCTATACTACTGTAATGTGTTGTACCATAGTCAAACAAGTGTAACATGTAGAAACGGTCCGTATTTTCAAACTACTTTTGGTAATAAAACATAGTGTCTTTCTTTTGAGACAGGTTCAAAGCCATTCAAAGTCCATTCATCTTCTGAGAAGTGCAGAAGCATGATTGCTGACCCCATTGTTCCTCTTGTCATTTACCTTTCTGCTTCTTAGATCAATCCACTTGATCATTTTGGTAACAGAGGTTGAGCCGATCCCAATGAAGCATCTGAAGTCATTGGAGAAATTTACACTTATTGAAATGCAAGAGAAAATAAAACCCATCAAGTTGTGAAGACAAGCCCAGCAGTTTTCCAAATATGCAAAACAAATATTTGCTTTAATTGCACATGTGCAAGGAAAGGTAATTTATTAACATAGCCCATTGTTAAAACAGTTATCTCAAAGGATTTACATAGCATCATAAACACATCGTCTGTCCTTAGACCCTCACACTGACGAGAAAAAAACTCCCTGAAACCTTTTATGGGGGAGGGGTATCCCTCAGCCATGACAGGAAGAAGTGCAATAAATACAGAAAAAAAGTGTAGGCCTACATGATTTTAAGGAAACATATAAATGTTAGTGTGGGCTGTTGAAACTGAAGCAGTAAGTGGCTTTGCAATTGAATACAATGGAATTGCATGGAGTTGGATACAAATTAAAACTTTATTTGTAATGAAAAGTATTACAAAATAATATACCCCTAAAATCACCTTCTAGCACATACCTCTGGATGAATTCATGCATGCTGATTGCCGCCTTTGTTTGGTATACCAGGTTAAAAATGTAACAGCATGCAAAGCATGCTGACAATCCATCCATAACATTCTGGTGTGGATCCACAACTACTTGCCTCTCCATGCTGCCGTTCAGTTTGTGACATGAGAACATCAAGAAGAAAATTAAGAGAAATACTTTTGTCATCCCAGAATGTTATTTCAAATCTTCCAGTAAAATGCATAACCTAAAATTATATAAACTTCAAGTATAATGATATATGACTAAAATACCTTCAGCATAAACCCCATCCTCCACTTAACCACAAAAGAAAAAGTGTCAAGGTAGGGTGGAGATTGAGGTTTAGGAGGCAGAGATGACTGAATGAAGATGAAAGAAGCCAACAGAAGCAAAATCCAAAAGGAAACAAAATACCGAAAACTAACAAGATTGGCACAAGGGGGCAACAGAGAGCAAAACAAAAAACACAACACTGCTTAAATATAAATAGAAAACAATTAGAATGACACTAAATGGAAAATAAACCAATGACAAGAAAACAGAATGACATAATTAACTGAAAACTCAAAAACAAACTCAAAAAGAAGACCAAAGGGGAGAACCATAAAAGCAAAGTGCATCTAGAAAAACTGTTTCGGCGTCTTACCACCACCTCACTGGATAGTTGCCGCCTTCTCTCTCCCGCTCCCCTGCACAGTCAGCGCTGGGCAAAGGTGTCTGATTGTCTGCTGTGCTCCAAGACTCCTCCTACCCAGATGCACCACAGAGCGCCACAGGAAATCATTCCTACCTGTGGTTATCAACCTATATAACGCCTCCCTCAAGTGATGCACGCCACGTATCACTTTACTTGGATTTATTCACTTTAATTGAACTTTTAACTTTATTTGGATTTAGTTTTTACATATACATAGATATACGTACAGATATATATACAGAAGAGCTATATGTGTATATATATTTTATCTCTTTTTATTCTGATTTTTTATCTTTATTATATTGTATAGTTGGATGTGTGTATATATCATGTAAAACTGTAACTAGAGCGTGTAACAAAAGTAATTTCCCTCTGGGATTATTAAAGTATTTCTGATTCTGATCTTCTCTATCAGCTGTGATGGAAGATGTAAGCCGTAGCCTCTCCACTATCTGGTGCTGTTTCTTTGGCAGATTAAAGCTCATTTTTTCTCTTATCTGCCCCTATGTTTTGGTGGAGGGTTTTCTTGGGATTCATAAATCATTGTGACTCAAACCACCTGTAAAATCTATTGAGAATACCGTCTGCATCTGTGGTTGCTAAGCAAATGTTTACCCCTTCCAAGATGGCGCAATCATCACTAGGCTCGCACTAGAATGTGTGCTGTCATTGTGGTGCTTCTTCTTCTTTTTCTTCTTGTGTTGTTTATTGGCAGTTGGCAAAACAACTAAAAGGTGTGCATTACCACCATCAACTGTTATGGATTTTGGCTCATGATAAATAATTTCAAAACTATGCGTTATATATTTAAACTCTATTAAACAATTTTGTTTTCTCTAAAAATCTAATATTCATTTGTATATGCTTGCTCCCAATTTAGTTTATAATCTATCTACTATATCAAATCTCTCCATAATTCTTTCAAATTCTCTCCCCTGACTCTTCTCTCTCGTTCATATTTCCGACATCTCAATATAACATGTTCTATGGATTCCTCCTCTTTGCTGTAGCTTGCTTTTGCATTTTAACCCTTTGAACATTAAGGATTCCTTTTAAGGTACCCTGTCATAATTACTCAACAAAATTATGGGTCCATTTGCCAGGGACATGACAGTAAGTGTGTGAGGAGATTGTATAAAGATATCAGGAGATTCATAGAACAATGAGTTCACTTTAAAGACAATCGGAAACAATCACAGAAGTTTTAAATTAATCAGTGAACTCAAAGGTAATTTGACCCCCCTACAAATTCTTCAGTATGAATTTTGGCTCTGAAACCTAAATTCCAAGCTGAACATTGCATCATTTTTTGATAACTGCTTTCAATCATTTTCATTTGACTTTTTTCTGCATGCATATAACTAATTAGTTGAAGAGTTTCACTAGCTTAGTTTATATTTTTTTTTATTGAAATATTCTTTGCTTGGAGTTTTATTTCCTTCATAAATCCTTATATTTGAAATTAAAGTTGTAAATTTATACTATATGTGGGCAGAGTTAAATGTTTGACTATAATTGAAGCTTCAATTTTTTGTCTTAAAACAGCCAGTTGGGTGTGTGTTTACAGAATTATACATGACAATACATTTTTTTTTTTTTTATTAAGTTTCATTAGCATTTAATTGCAAAACAATAGCTACAAACCTCTCAAGAGTCTCCTCTACTTAATCCTATATTATCAGCAGTATCAGAGTCTTCACGACCTCAGAACCTTGGACGCAAAATTCAGATAGACAGATCTGGACGATTTTCAAATAGGCTTGATTTAAAAAATACAGAGGGAGGGAGATTGTCCACGGCTTTCAGCTTTAGCCTCTTCCAGAACTCAGAGTGATGAAGAGCTGACGCCAGCCGACGCCTAAGAGGCAACACTGTCCGTGAGAGAATATCCAGAGCCGATTTTGAATCAGAACCAGGTTAACAGCCAAGAAGATCAATGAGCAGAAGAGATACCGAAGGAGAATCAAAGCCAAGGTCAGTAGCACAGTCCAAGTTCGGTAAAGCAGCAGAATCCAGGAAATCAAAATAAAACTGTTACGTTCAAAATTGCAAGTTTTAGTAAAAAGAAACTGAGTCCACACAGAATAGGTTTTTTTGGCTCCTGCAGGAGGAGAGAGCCACGTTCAGCCACATCTGCTCTCTGATGGGTCTCCTCAGCAGAAGCCTTTTATTAGCAGATCATAACACATGGGGTGGGTTACAGAACAGTGTTCTTCTGACAAGGCAATTGATCGGGTCATAGAACAAAATGCTCCTCTTGATTGAATCACAGAATAGAGCGGTCTCCCGATGACTGTGATTATCCTTGCACAAACATCAGCAGTTTTCTACCAAAGTTTGCATGACAGTTTGCAGTAAAAAAAGTTAAGCATCTCATTTTAATGTTCTATATGCACATGCATTAATTTTATAATCATAAACCTGACACAAACTGACAGAGCAGACAAGCACAGGACAAAAACTTGGATATCCAAAGGCAGAAAACAGGTCAGAATCAGAATGACATAATTATTACTTGATCACTAGAATTACTCTCACCAAACAGTTTGAATAATCTGGCACCGATGGTAGGCTGACAAACAGCATAAATAGCAGCAAGAACCAGGTGGAAACGATAAGCGTTGAGCCGCAGGGCCAATTAGACAGGTGAACAGGAGTAAATGAAACTACCAACCATCAGCGCCAAGACCATGACAATAGGATTAATTGTGTCTTTTTGTGCAGAACAGTTCTTTCAAGTTAAACTTAGTCCTGAAGTCTTTACAGAGAAATACATAGATAACAGGATCCAAACAGATGTTACAAACTGATATTAAGACAGCCGTCTCCTTTATGTAGTAAAACACCTGTGAACAATGTCCTTGTAATAAGACATACAGAAATCGAACAACATGATAAGGAACAAAGCAAAAGCAGAAAACAATGACTAACACCGACATGTTCCTGCAAGACTTCACAAGCTTAGTGCTCGATGAGCCCAGCTGCCTCTGTTGGATCTTTCGCAACCTGTGGAAGGTTTTGCAGTAGAAGAAAATTAGGGAGAAAAGCACTGACAGGAAGGAGATGGCAGCAAAAGTATGGATAGCCAAATAAAGGGTTTTCACACGCTTATTCATAAAATGCTCACAGGTGCGGTGATATTGAGTAGCTTCGTAGGTCATCAGCATCAGGATGGTGTAAGATGTTGCAATGGCCAGGAGAACAAACCACACAGTCACCGAGATTATGTGGCTGGCTTTAGTAGTCATCAGGAAGTTAGTTTCTAAAGAGTGAAATATCTTCATGTACCTATGGAGAAGGACAAAGACTCAATACATTTCATTGATTAATCTAAATTTTCAAACCCTTTACAGTCGGAAATTGTACACGAGTAAATAATTTAAGATATAACAATTATCTATGCTGAGCCTGGTTCTGGCTCTGATGAATAATCTCTACTCTTGTCATATACTTTCTCAGGAGGGAGATGGGAAGATTTAAGCCTATTCTGCAGTAAAAAAAAAAAGACCTTTCTCCGTCATTTAAACATGGCTTAGGCTGAACGATTACCTGACTGGTAAATAATTTCTGTTACCTGTTAGCAGCGATGAAGCCCATGAACAAGATGCTGGCAAACATGTTGAGGTACAGGACTGAGGTTCCAACGCTACAGGAGAGGAGACTAATAGTGAATGAGCTGCTGGCGTGGTGCATGATTCGAACTGGGAGGCTAAAACATAGCAAAAGGTCAGCAATTGTAAGATGTTTTAGGAAGATCATCCAGCTCTTGGAAACTTGTTTATGAGGTCCATGACAGTGAAACCACAAAGTAAAGCTGTTGAGGATTAAGCCGACCTGCAATGGAAAAGCTCTTGTAAGTAAATCAGACAAACAGTTTGAATGTTTTTTCAAGACAAAACAATCTGGAGGCAAGATACTTACAATAAACAGCAGGCTGTAGAACAGCAGAAGGAGGGTGTGGTCTGACTTTGCCGCTTCTTCGCATGCCATGCTCTGGGTGGTTGTGAAGGACTTATTAATAGATGATGTCCCTTTATGCGACTCATTCATGTTGCTGTAGAATTATCATAAGATTAAAAACATAAATCAGTCATAAATATCACATGAATTAATGGATGGATGGATTGTGGAAGCTCATTGGTAGAATTCCCTTACAACAGAAAGAAGGTCACGATTCACACCATTTTATCATCCGGAGGGGAGAAACATTTAATTACAAAACCGAATTCATACAGCTGTCTTAAACACTTCATACATTCAGTGCTACATCTTTACATCTCAGTTATTCACCCACAATCATTCCATTTCAGGCTACATTTATAGTTTTCACATCGCACTATGTAGATTTATGTGCACGACTAGACGCTTTGTCCAGAACTTCCTGGAAATCTCTTAGCTTATGACCTGATTGCGTGCGAGTCAGCCACAAAGAACCCTGTTTTTGCCAATAGTCGTACGTGACTTTCAGCATGTAGACACCCTGTCTACATGCTTGAGTAGGCCACTTTAACATATACAGAGTCTAAAAAAGCCCCTGGAGAGCGCAGAACCCTGTCAAGCAGCAAAGTTTGCCTTATATTTTAACCTACACCTATAGCTAAACCTTGCAAGACTTTTGGAATCCACTGCTGAAGCTATGTCACTGCTGTCACCCTCTGGTTTAGGAGATGAACTGATTGTTTCCTCTCACAATGTTAATGAATCCTTAAAAATAAATCCTTAATTTGGATCATCACCAAAACTTAAAGGATTGTCCCTTGTCATGAGGTACACTTCTAGTAAAAATTTTATTTCAGTAGTTCTTGAAAAAAAGATCTGTATATTGCTCATAATAAAACTAAAAACAAACAAATCTCGTACCATGTCAACTGAGTTGTAGAATGTTCTGCCTATAAATACTTAATTATCTGTGAATTGATTCAGATCATTCTTTAGGAAGAGCCTCATCAGAAGGAAATGCAATATTTGTTTTTAAAACATAATATGTCTAACGGATGGACCGGCGACCTGTCCAGAGTGTACCCCGCCTCTCGCCCGTTGACAGCTGAAGAAAGGCACCAGCACCCCTTATGACCCCACTTGGGATAAAGTTAAAGCTTCCCGGCTATCTTGGCAAATATCTGCTTTTTATGTTACTAAAGTTCTGTGGAATTTGGCTTAATAAAAGCTTTACTACACATGCAGTTTTCCTTGACTGCATTGAGTATTTTTTATTTATTTCTATATATTATGATCATAAATTCAAAGGGTGAAATTTGCGGTTCTATTGGGTAGAATTTATTGGTTTGTGAATTTAGTTCATTTTTTCAAAAAGTGAACTATCAACATGATCTACTTCATATTTATCTGTGTGAAATGAACTTTGAGCTCATTCTTTTAAATTATACATTCTTTTAAATTATGAACTGGCACAACATTGTTCCCGGCAGACTTCTCTGATTAACCACTGTCCTCTCCGGCAGATAGTCTCTATAGGCTCAGCAAGCCGGCTCCTCTATGGAGAGATATTTGTGCCATCAGTTTGATCGCGCAGGAACAAATCCGAGCCCGCAGGAAGACAACACGCGCGCGTGCAAAACCGGTCTGACGTGCGCTCAACTCTGAAAAACCCTCTCAACACACTGTTCTCGCGCTCAGTTTCATCTCTGCGCGTGCTCGAATCCGTCTCTGCTCGCGCTGGACCTGCTTCCTCCGCGCTCAACACCAGCTGTGCGCTCGGGTGTTTCTCTGCTCGCTCGACTCTCTGCGCTCGCAACTTCAGCAATGTATGTAAATGAACCATACAATCAGCCAAACACGCTCAGCTTCTTTTCATTCAATGAAAGCATTCGTTC